AATACAGATAGGTGCAGTCCTGTCCTGTACAAACGTGAAATGTTTAGCAGACCTGCAAATTAACTTTATTCTTATCAGACCAGACCTAGATCTGCATTTTTTAGGACTGGTACAGAACTGTATACAGGTCAGCTTGACCAGACCAGACCTGTATACAGGTCAGCTGTGAATAGGTCTGCTGTTATTCTGTCTTGTATACAAGTCTGCTATTTGACAGACCAGTCATGTCAGTCATGGGGACAGCTCTAAGCTACACAACCGGCTTAACTGACATCAAATTACATTTCAAGTGAAATTGTACAATTCTTATATAATTATATACCAATTTCTTAAGTCATAATACAATACAATTATATACCGAGTTAAACCTGCAACATCATAAGAAAATTTGACCTCTCTCTCTATCTATCTATCTATCTATCTATCTATCTATCTATCTATCTATCTATCTATCTATCTATCTATCTATCTATCTATCTATCTATCTATCTATCTATCTATCTATCTATCTATCTATCTATTCATCTAGTTATCTATCTATCTAGCTATCTATCTATCTGTCTAATAAATCTCTCTCTCTCTCTCTCTCTCTCTCTCTCTCTCTCTCTCTCTCTCTCTCTCTCTCTATCTATCTATCTATCTATCTATCTATCTATCTATCTATCTATCTGTCTAATATCTCTCTCTCTCTCTCTCTCTCTCTATCTCTCTATCTATCTATCTATCTATTTATCTATCTATCTATCTATCTATCTATCTATCTATCTATATATCTATCTATCTATCTATCTATCTATCTATCTATCTATCTATCTATCTATCTATCTATCTATCTATCTATCTATCTATCTATCTATCTATCTATCTATCTATCTATCCATCTATCTATCTATCTATCTATCTATCTATCTATCTATCTGTCTGTCTGTCGTTCGGTCTGTCTGTCTGTCTGTCTGTCTGTCTGTCTGTCTGTCTGTCTATTAGTTGATAATGTAAATGTACAGTTCTAAAAGCATGTATTATGCATATAGATATTTTCTTTTTATCACCTTTATTTGTGTTTTGTAGAATTCATAAAGAGGGTTTCAATGTTAGTCGAAATTCTATGGATGTAGGTCGATAGAAGATGCTCAAACATGAAACGGACAATGGAAATGAAACTAATACTAAAAGGTAATGTTATAGTTATATACATAGGATATTTATATTTTACATCTATCTTCTATCTTATTTGAAAAAAGCTTAAGTTGGAAATTATCAAATGTAAAATAGATACAGTTGAAGAAAATGACAGTTAGCTGGTTATGCCTATGCCATAATAATCAAGACTTTCCACTACATCTTAAAACATCCATGTAGTTTTAGTCATGCATTACGAATATTTACTAATTGCTACAATGCACTGTTCTCACACAAGCTAAGACGCCCAATAATGCATGTCTTTTCATTTCTAATATGGTGTATGTTTAGCACAGTCTTTAGTAATATTCGCATAAAAAAATCATTATTTGATTGCCTCATCATGGAATGAAAACATCATACCAATAGGTTCTACTATGTTTAACTTCTGTTAAAATAAATTGAGAAAGTGTTGTCACACCCAATCTCAGCGATTACTTACTTCTCATTTTCAATCAATGATGTAGTCGTTACTTCTTCAACTACGGATCCAACAAGTTTTCTTCGTATCTCCGGATCTTTTTTCTGCACTTAAAAATATAATCCGATAATGGCCAATTATAAACTGGGTCTACGATGATGACGAAGTCAACTTCGCATTTGTTAGTATTAACAAACAAACTGATACCGACAAGGAACACAGTCTTCAAGAAAAGTTTGCTGAGCAGTGATTCACTGCAGTCGAATTATTGAAGTTTGAAGCGTAATATCTATTAAACAGAATTATATCCTTCATCTTCACACCTCATGAATGATTTGTTTTATTCTGAAAGATGTATTCAAACATAATTACAAGCTAGAATTTCCATGTAATGTATAATTTACCTTTTGAACATTTTCAATTCGTATCTTTTACATGTTTTAAGATAATTAAAAATAATTGATAGGTATATTTGAATTGTTTCCTGAAATATTGTCTGCCACACTAATACACCCGTCGGCTTATCGTGAGAATTATGCCATCGTTTAACTAAATAAACATCTTTGTTACAAATGTGAGGTGAGATTTCTTAAATTTCTTAATTTTATTTATTTCTTAGATTGCCAAATAACTATCTTATTTTAAATAAAATTGAGAATGGAAATGGGGAATGTGTCAAAGAGACAACAACCCGACCATAGAACAGACAACAGCAGAAGGTCACCAACAGGTCTTCAATGCAGCGAGAAATTCCCGCACCCGGAGGCGTCCTTCAGCTGGCCCCTAAACAAATATATATACTAGTTCAGTGATAATGAACGCCATACTAAACTCCAAATTGTACACAAGAAACTAAAATTAAAAATAATACAAGACTGACAAAGGCTAGAGGCTCCTGACTTGGGACAGGCGCAAAAATGCGGCGGGGTTAAACATGTTTATGAGATCTCAACCCTCCCCCTACACCTCTAACCAATGTAGAAAAGTAAACGCGCAACAACACGCACATTAAAACTCAGTTCAAGAGAAGTCCGAGTCTGATGTCAGAAGATGTAAACAAAGAAAATAAACAAAATGACAATACTACATAAATAACAACAGACTACTAGCAGTTAACTGACATGCCAGCTCCAGACTTCAATTAAACTGATTGAAAGATTATGTCTTCATCATATGAATATCAGGCACAATCCTTCCCGTTAGGGGTTTAGTATCATACCATCATAACATATATGAGAAGAACATAACCCGTGTCATGCCAACAACTGGTTTTTAAATACATGTGTTTAGTGCCGATGCAAAGACCCTATAAGTGAATCAATATTAACGCCAATATATGCAATCTTTAATGACCTGACAACAGTATCGTAACTATATCCCTTCTTAATAAGTCTATTTAAAGGTTTTGTTAGCTTCAGAGGTGAATACTGACATTTTTGTGCTTTATAAAGAATATTTCCATAAAAAATTGGATGTGAAATACCTGAACGTATAAGAAGTCTGCATGTTGAGCTATATTTACGAATGATGTCCTTATACCGATGATAAAATTTAGTAAATGTTTTGACTAGTTTGTGATATCGAAAACCCTGGTGTAATAATTTTTCAGTAATACACAAATTTCTCTCGTTAAAATCTAAAACATTGTTACATACACGAGCGAATCGTACAAGTTGAGATATATAAACACCGTAAGATGGTGACAAGGGAACGTCACCATCTAAAAATGGATAATTAACGATAGGAAATGAAAAATCATCTCTTTTATCATATATTTTAGTATTAAGCTTTCCGTTAATGATATAGATATCAAGATCGAGGAAAGGGCAGTGGTCATTGTTGGTATTAGCTTTATTTAAAGTAAGTTCAACAGGATAAATTTCTTTAGTATACATACTGAAGTCGTCATTATTGAAAACATGTTTCCAATACTTTGAACTTGAATTATTCACCAATAGGAATACCCTAATCCAGTGGTTTTTTTTGTTTTTTTTTGTTGTGGTACAATATCGAAGAAATGCATCCTCTTTCATCTAATATATCATTAATATACAAAATATTGCCTTCAATTTTTTTTTTTTTAAAGAAAACAAGAAAATGAACTTTTTCCTTCATGAGATAGTTCTCCCATGAAGGTCGCTCCCAAATTAATCAAAATTGAATTTTTGGATAAGTTTCCAATTATCATTTTCATTTTTTAAGAGACGTCAGATTTGCAAACTTTTAAGGTTACAAGTTAAATTAATTATGTGTAGACTGCCTTCAAGGTACGATGTATACATTGTTGAAAGTTTGACTATGTCTTTTTTCTATTCCGTATAAGATTGTATACTAAATGTTTAAACATAATTTCATTTGTTATTATCATATTTGAGGCTCTATCGGTTATATAAGGTAAAGTTAGACTTAACTACTGCTATCGTTTTATTTCTATTCAGCTGTAAACCAGAAAAGACTTCAAAAATTGCAATAATATGGAGGGCTATGGTTATATCTTAGAAAAAAAGTGTGATGTCATCTGATCATTTGCCTATTTTTAAAGAACAGGTTTTGCTTATCTGGTGTTATTTCTAATCACATTTATTTTTTTATTTTCTCGTATTTTAATTGCAATTATTTCAACTGATTAAGCAAAAACTAAAGCGGGATAACCAGCTTAATGCTATGGCTGTATCATGTTTAAATATGAAATTATAGCAAAGGCTAAAATCTAGAACGACAAATTTACCTTTCATCTCGACCTTAATTGTAAGGTCATTGAGCAAGGACCTCAAATCAAATGACCATAAGTCCCTTCTGTATATCTGGTTAATGAGCAATATTTAATACAGCTAATTTTAGATATTGAAAGGTAGGAAACTCATATTCAATGTCGACGCACCCTTCTGAAACCAATATTTATGTTACTAACAGTTTAGTAAAAATATTTTGTCGGTATATATGCTTTTAATTTTGCCATTTGATTAGGGACTTTCCGTTTTGGATTTTCCATGAAGTTCGGTATTTTTGTTATTTAACTTTATAAGGTTTCTGGAGAAAATCATTAATAAGCCAAAACCAAAATTAAGAACACGACCTTGACCTTTAATCTTGACCGCATTTACTTTTTGGTGAAGCTAGGACCTCAAATTTAAAGACCCTAGGTCTCTATTTATTACGGTTTAACAGTTACAAATACATATCACTTATATCAAATACATAGGGAGAAATAACACTCATAAATAGTCCAAAATAATTTTGAACATGCTACGAATGTAACGAGCAATTTGCACACAAAGGTTATTTGTCGGTTTCTTTTTACAGTTGCGAAGTAGTAGTTATAACCATAAAACTAGTGTTCGGAGGGATAACTTTTACAAAGACAAGAGTTCGGTTAAGCGATGTTATTTTCAGAGGCTCATTACCTGTTTAATATAATATATCAAACATCAAAGCATCATTTTGCGAAGCAAACAAATTGCTCATGAAAACAAAGTAGGCAGAAAGACCTAATAATCCGGACATTCAAAGACCTTTCCACTGAAAAAGTGGAAAGACCTGAGATACTTGTGTGTCAGAATTTTATTTTTTTTTCAAATTTACGTCAAATAAAAGTAATGTTTAAAATGTTTATGAGGTCAAAGACCTATTCTCTTATCAAGGTCTGTTATAACATGGTCTTTACTCGCTTTGATAAATATTTCATCGGAACAAAAATATAGTGCATAATTAGTGCTTGTCGAATATTGTAATATCAAACATCTGATGCCTTATGACATCCTTTGTCCGTTATCCAGCGTGTTAAGTTCAGTTTGGTGCCTCTTGTGTAATTTGTTGAAAGTTTTTCACAAACAGAACAATATATATATTGCACGATCTCATGTCGTGTATACGGACTTGCCCAGAACTTATCTTTCGCTTTTAAATAATTACAATAAACACTTTCATTGTCAGCAACATATTTCAAATATACAGCGAGCTCCCTTGGTGATTTGAAATCTAGCGTTGATATAAAAGTCCCTGTAGGCAAAATATCCTTCACATTTGGTGCCCCTCGGTAAACTGGAATTATTTCGAAGTCCTCTTGATACAACCGAAATGCTTTTTCCGTAACGTAGTCTTCACAAAGAGAATTTTCAAACGACAAATAGAATTTATAATCACCACTTAAATTTTTGAAACATGCGTCGTCATTCCAAGCTGAACATGGTTTGCCACACTTTCCATATACGTCAACGTCGATGTATTTTTTCAGCTCTATTACGTATTTGCTTCTTGAATAACGGTATTTACAGTCGCTTACTACCCAGGCAATATTTTTTTTCTTTTTTCTGTAGATACTAGAATAATTTTTTACTGCCGGTAAGATCCTTCGTGCAAATTCTCCGTATGGCAGATATATATCTGAATCCGATCTGTAGCTATATGTCCAATCAAATTCATTTCTCCATTTTTTGTCCATAAAGTATTTCATTGTGTGAACATTAGATTCATCTGACATGAATAGCCATGTCTGATGTTTTGCTTTTTTCGGTATGTCAACACTATTCATTTCACTATGATGAAATAACACAGCATCGCTACTATTCAGATAGGCTATATCGTTTAATATTTTGCAATATTTGAATGCACAGTTTCTAAATTTGTAATTGTACATTTTTGTCGGTATCCATGTTGGTTTTGTATACCATAACAAGGAGAAAATGTTTGTAAACTCTTTTTTATTATTTGCAGCCTTTGCACTTGTATATGATAATTTATTTCTATAAACTGTTTTCGTATTTGAAAGGGTTATTTGTGCAAGAAACTTGAATTTAGTCCCTATACCTGGAATATTGTTCAAATAATATGCAATACTTAAGAATCCAATTACTGTGAATATATACATTGTCATCCTAACGGATATAAATGCTGTTGCAAAAGAAGACCTCATTTGAAATGTAACAGGTTTATCAATTTAAAGCGATATATAACAAACCATAACAATACTATTTACCCAACATTATCTACCTACTATGTTGTTTCAGATGAATATAGTTTGATTCTAATTACGTATTATTTTACTTCAGTATATCGATACTTTTTATTGACGACATTTTAACAACCCATTTGAAAAAAAGGTTGAATTCCCTACACATTAAACTGTATGGCCTTTTTTTTATTACGTAGTTTATAGAATTACGTATTTTACTGCTTTTTTTCCTGACGAGCAAGAAGATCAGCGGAATCGCGAAACAAAACAAAATATGTCGTTATGGATTTGTATTGCAGTTTACAAATAAATGATTAAAAAGCGAAATGAATTGTTTAGTGGATCTGAAATATGATCCGATTAATTGAGCTATTGTTTGAACCTATATATGTATTAATGTCGTACAGTGAGGGAGGGTGATAGCTATTAATTTTGCGAAAACGATTGAAGTGACTTAGGTAACTTAAAACGTATGATAAATGCGGTTATTCAATGATTGGTTCAAAGTTGTAACAAATCAAGCAAACAGTTTGTTACTGCTACAACATTACAAAACTATACTACAATATGTCTATTAAATACGTAAGGTAAATGTATATAAACATAACTTTTGTTCATCTGGTTTCATGAATTGCCTTGATAAAAAACAGTTTCGTACTGAAGGAAATACTTTTTTGTTAGAAAGATTGAGAAGGAAAAACGTCCGGAAATTTGATACTGGAGATATAATCAAGGGTTATTTAAAATTAATAACAGACTTGAAACTGGACGATATTTGTCTAAACGCACGCAAGAACACCTGTATCGTTTTAAAAGACCCAATAAATTCAAAAGTATCATTTATCAACATCTTAAAAAGCACAATCATCCTATTAAATATTTAACAGTTCAACCTTTAGAAATAGTAAATAAGCAGCCTGGTGAATCTCATTCAAAGTTTGTACGATCACGGAAAATAATTGAATTAAATTGGATTAAAAAATTACAGACAGTCTACCCTCTCGGTCTTAATGATAATATTATGGGAATAGGTAATATATCAAGAACCGATTCTGTTAACATTTTGGATATAGTTTCTAAAACTGTTCGTAAAAAACGTTCTCATGGGCGTAGAAAAAAATCGCGATCAAAGAAAATTTCGGACTTACCATACTAATATTTCGGACCTAATTTCTATTTCAAAAAACAACGGCAGACATTATCTATTAACCAAGCTCTGCTCTTTACCTATAAATAAATAAAATAAAATTTTAGAGGATTGCAGCACAATTTCATATTGCAGTCCTAAGTATGAAATCGTTCAAATTATAATGGCATATTGTTATTCTAAACTGTTTCCCAAAATTGATCGCCCTGAAGATCATAAAAAACATTTTATTAAAATAAAGTATGTCAATAAAGGTTTTGATTTTGTAAATATTGCCGGTATTTTAAACGAACATTCTGTTAAAGAACAAATTCCTGCATATTTTGATAATACTGAACTCCCTCTTATTTGTTATATTTACAAGAAATCTACCCGGAAATTTGTGTTTAATTATAGCCAAGTCTGTAAAGATGTAAATATCAGTGAAAATACACCTACGTCATGTAATTGTAGTAATTCAGTATACACTCATGGCCCCATTTCCCATGTTATATAACAGAAGATTAACATCGTTCGCGACCGAGAGTTAAAATCATTCCTCAGTAAAGGACCTATATATCGTCCCCCGTCAATTTCAATTATTAATTGGAATGAGTGTCGTAATATCATCAACGACTCATTTCGTGCTTATTGTTTGAAATGGATAAAATGGGAAAAAGCTGACAAAAAATCCTTGGACTCTTTTTTTAATTCAGTAATGAAGATAGTTGATATACGTATACAACATTTTAAAGAACAGTTTACTCTTAACAACAACCATAAAAATCCTATTTCTCGTATCAAACATTAACTAAAAGAACTAGCCAAGGAATTTGTTTCTGTCCCGGCTGATAAAGCTGCTAATAATATTATTATAGTTTGACGTAAATTTTACATTGAGGTTCTGCAAAAGGAAATCACCAATTCACAAACATTCCAACTGACTTCATTTTCAGAAAACGATATCTGTATCAAACATAAACTATTAGCTACTTCTTTACAAGCAGAAACAAATACAATGAAAGTCCCAACTATGTACTGGCTTCCGAAGCTACATAAATCACCTTACAAATATAGATTTATTTCGTCTTCAAGTCATTGTTCCACTACTAAATTGTCTATTCTACTTACTAGAACCCTTGGTACGATCAAAAACCTGATAATAAATTGTTCAAATAAGGCCTTTGAAAATAGTGGAATTAATTACTTTTGGAGTGTCAAAAACTCGTTGGAAGTACTTGATAATTTGCATGCATATATTAGTGATTTTGAATCGGTTCAAAGTTTTGATTTTTCTACCCTATATACCACTTTGTCTCATATTCTTATTAAGAACGAAAAGTTAACACACCTAATTAAATGGGCATTTAATAAGTCGGAATGCGAATACATATGTTCAAACTCTTTTAGGTCAATTTTTAAGGGCAACAAACAAAAGAACTATGTCAATTGGACATGCTTTGATACTATATCTGCACTTGAATTTTTACTTGATAACATTTTTGTTCGCTTTGGAGATTCCGTATATCGTCAAGTTATCGGAATTCCAATGAGGACTAACTGTGCACCACTTATTGCGGACCTGTTTTTGTATTGTTATGAGTTAAAATTTATGACTAAAATCATCAAAGACCCATCGAAACAACATCTGATACAAAAATTTAACAATACTTTTAGATATATGGATGATTTATTGGCTCTCAATAATGACGACTTCAGTATGTATACTAAAGAAATTTATCCTGTTGAACTTATTTTAAACAAAGCTAATACTAACAATGACCACTGTCCTTTCCTCGATCTTGATATCTATATCATTAACGGGAAACTTAATACAAAAATTTATGATAAAAGAGATGATTTTTCATTTCCTATCGTTAATTATCCATTTTTAAATGGTGACGTTCCCTTGTCACAATCTTATGGTGTTTATATATCTCAACTTGTACGATTCGCTCGTGTATGTAACAACGTATTAAATTTTAGCGAGAGAAATCTATGTATTACTGAAAAATTATTATACCAGGGTTTTCGATATCATAAAAGAGGGACGAAAGATACCAGAGGGACAGTCAAACTCATAGATCGAAAACAAACTGACAACGCCATGGCCAAAAATAAAAAGACAAACAGACAAATAATAGTACAGATGATACAACATAGAAAACTAAAGACCCCACCAAAAACTGGGGGTAATCTCAGGGGCTCTGGAAGGGTAAGCAGATCCTGCTCCACATGTGGCACCCGTCGTGTTGCTTATGTTATTACAAATCCGGTAAATACTCCAATTCGGTAAGTCACATCGTGAAAAGGGAAGGGTATTGTAGTTACGACATAAGGAACATATCCGATATCATCTGTGAAACGGTTATTCCATAACGGTCAACCAACTCGTGATGGCGTCCGTAAAATTTACAAAGGAATGATTTCAACTTCACCATTTGGAACTCTTTATTTAATAGCTTCCTTGTGAGCAGCAAGCCTCTATCAAGGAAATCATGATAGGAAACACAAGCCCGGGAATATCGTATCAATTGGGAGATATATACTCTGTATGCAGGCGCTGCTGGAATGTTGCTACATAGAAATGAAAAGTTCACAATTGGGAAGCTTAAATCATCCCTTTTGTCGTAAAGTTTTGTTTTCAACCGACCCTCATTGTCAATTTCTAGATGTAAGTCAAGATATGAGGCAGATTTAACTGTATCTGTAGTATCCTTTATCTCTAGTTCGATGGGATAGATTCGTTCAACATAGACACCAAATGTTTTTGGTTTGGTATAGGTATAAGAAATTATTGGTACAGACTGATCTTTAAAATAAGGAGGTATTTTCGACTGAACTAATTTATAATGAAGGATATTGCCTAAGTTGACGCCATCGAGACCTTTGTTGGCAAAGGAAAGTTTAAGAAAAGTTGTTTTCTCTTTTTCATCTTTTCCAATGCGAACTAGTTGAAAAGTCTGTGACTTGCAATATCCGAAATGTTAGCTGTAAGTTTGTATTGGTTTAAATGAGGGTTTGTAACAGTGGTTTCCAATCATAAATTGAACAGAGAATGAAGTTTTGAAAGGGGTAATAAATACAGTTTCGTGCGAATGGGATGAATACCTAATGGCTTTTGTATAAAAGGCAGCAAGTCATTAATAGAGACATCATGCAAAGTAGGTGATGTATAATGACGATGACCATGACTGCATCTACGTCGAGGAGTAGAGTTAAAAATATTCATCACTTTCACCGAGCTACAGGAAGGACTAGATAGAATACCTATACCATCAATTTTGTCATTGCAACCATATGGTGTTGCAGTTCCCAATTGTCGAATCCAGTAGTAAACTAGTCAAAACATTTACTAAATTTTATCATCGGTATA